GGGAGGAAATAGACGAGCGCTTAAGTTACGTCATTTGTTTTCGTTTCGAACATGCACGTCACTGTTACGTCATTAAAGTATTGTTTGAATGCCAAGAAACTCCCAAGGATCCAGGAAGTCCTATATTACCCCTTAACATCTGTCTAGGTGTTAAAGAGTAATCTAACACTTTCTAATCTTATTTATGAAAGAGTCAAAGGACCTCAACTTTTTAAATTTCTGTGCTTAAAGTAATGACTTTGTTTTCACAACCATTTTACTTCCCTGAGGTATGAGAGTTTCAGACATGACACTCACTTTATTTCTTGAGATCTGAGATTTCCCTCCGGAAATTCTCGAGAATCTTCGAATTCTTAAAACAGTTGAATGCTTACTTAAACAAAGCGTTAAGTTAAAAAAAAGGACAGGAGGAAAACCATGGAAAATGAAAACAAAAAACAAAGGGCCGCTTTCAAATAATTTTAATTCAGTGTTTTGACTAAATTGAAAACTAATGATTTCAAGCTGTTGACGACTTTCACTAAATATTTTTGCAGTACGAAATCAGAGCGTTTGGCAAATTTAATTGCTGTGTTTGTCATTGCACGAATATCTCCGAATATTAAGGTTTTCTCGTTTTGTTTCAGCTGTTGATACTAATGTATATACAGAACGTCCAAATTCCATAGCCATACATAATATATTTCTTCTAAGATAGGGAAGTAAGAATTTCCCTCTTACTCTCTTACAAATGCCTTACATCGTGTACATAAAAAAATTACACCACTTTATTTTTGATGTATATGAATAGGAAAAAATATGAGCTTCATTTTTTTAGCATAAATGTTTTTCCTTCGAGACTGTAACTCTTTATAGTAACACTACTACTCTGTAGTGTTACTATAAAGAGAACATAGCAATATAGATAAATAAATAATTTTAAAATGGAAAGATTTGTGAAGTTTTATTGTATCCCATAACGGTATTTACTTCACAGATACAATGGATCAGACTGCAGTTTGTCACAAACTCCTGCCTTTTTTCGAGACAATTACGGATGATGTTTGTTGTTACTTTATTCAATGAATTCTGTCAAAAGTCATAATATCAAGAGTATTGAGCATAGTAGGATAATTTACTATTTATTTCTAAATAGTAGATCATCAATATTTCTCTAATATTTGGTTTTAAACAATCGAATCGTTCCTGTGTAAGGGGGCAATAACTCACTCGCAGAGATTTGGTGGCCAAAGCAACAGCCAGAGATTCGGGAATACAATAATTTGTCAACATAAGCAGAGTTTTCTTTTCTTTTACTCTTGAGTTTTCTATCATTTTTCTCGAGAATTGGGAATAAAATAAATAAATAAACAAATAAACAAATAAATAAATTCTTGAAAATGGGTACTTGAGATTTTCTTATAAATCTCGAAAATCCTCGCAACGCGGCTACTCATTAATAACCGCCAGCTGAGAACCTTACTTCATAAATATTGCCTCTTAATGCAAAATAAAACTTGCGCTGATGACCGTTAAAATTGCTACACCAGGAAGAAAAACAAATAACAGAATCATATATATTACACATATACACTATAATGGGAGGAAGACATTGTTACGTTTACACGTGGTTTGGGGTACACAATGGATTTGGAGTGCATTTGCATATCCCAGAATGCAATACAATCTAACATTTGTTGCATACAGCTATCATGGTTAGCAATTTTAATCGCGAGTAATTTCAGTCATTCATAAGACCAAAAATTACTATATTTGCTTTGATATTAAACTAACAGCTTTTGAACTTACTTTTAGATACATATGAAGGAGATAGTAAAATCGAAATATCCTTCATTTTTACGCATAAATACCGAACAATTTACTCAAATGGAAAGGAATAAATTTTAATAATATGTTATTCAATTTAAAATTAGGAAAACTTCTATAAATCACATAAAGATTCTTAGAATTTTAGGAATAACAAACTTGAAAAATTAACAGCGCTGTCGCATAAATTCGAGACACGAATCTCCTAACTGCAAGCTTGACGTACCAACCACTAACACTACAAAAGCACGTGCGAAGAAAAATGACAATTTATTGTAAGGTTTGCGAAAAGAGTTTCTTGATGGAGGAAATTTATATGATCAGGAATTATTTTAACTAAAATATTGTACTTAACAAAATATGTAAGAGCGTAAAAATTAAACTAATTTCCCAGTATAAAACTGAACTAAGACGAAGCAGACTCAACTTCCACCCCCTTTTTTTAAACATAATCTTGTTTACTAATTCAGAAGTCAAACAACAAAAATCAGTGTTATAGTTTCAAATTTTCACAGGACTAGTTTCGATGGTTTTACCGAACCACCATCGTCAGCTGCAAAAGCTCAAATTTGAAACTATAACGCTGATTTTTGTTATTTGACTTCTGAATTAGTACTTGTTCGGAGTGTTATTGTGTCTTAATAATCTTGTTTGTTTAAAATCTCTTGTATTAATATTGGAGCTGTGTGGTTTTTAGCAAATTCAGCTACAGGGAGCATTATTTTAAAAAGTAGCCCAAGATGATTAAAGAAATCAATTTGTATTTGTATTACAATCACAGTATGTAATTTTACTGAACTGTGCGAAGAACTCTGCCAGTCGGTAGAAGAAACAAAGAACTCCAGAAGAAAGTGTAGGTGATGATACTTATATAAAAACTTTAAAAAAGTATTGGTTATAAGCCCTACATAACTTTTCTATTCCGTATAATAAAATGTTAATGCAATAAAATTTCTTATGTTAATTGTTAAAAAGAATAATACTTCCAACGGTTTTTTTTTAATATTCTACTCTCTGTATCAAGCAGAGAAGTAGTGGTGTCCTGTCGCTCGATTTCTAGACAGAGTGTTTGGATACATAGATTCGTAACACGATATATTAAAAAATCTGCTGTGAACACCACATGACTTCCTTGTACGACCTATTAAATTATATACATTTTTTTCTGCTGCATTTAATTTAAACTTATTTCGTCGAATTTCGTTAGTTATTCTTTCTCTCATTCATTAGTTATTCATTCATTCATTCTCATTCAATTAATTCAATTCTCACTTCGAGGCAAAGCAAAAAATACATAATAACTAAAGGCATAAAAACCTTAGCCGAAACATAAGAACAGCATAATTCAATCATTTTTAAAGCAATTAAAGCACAATTTACCAACATATAAGAATAGAAAGCTGAGCTCACGGAACCGCGTAACAGTGAGTATGTATATGTATATGTATGTTTTTGGGGCGACCTATTGCAATTAAAAGGGAAGTGCACAACTACATATTGTAGCAGTCCCATGTACAAACTTTCAACGCTCTGCGGCTATTCTTTTTGAGTTATGCGAGATACATATATGAGTACATCACATATAACATCACATATACATCATATGAGAAACATCACAAAATGGTATCTTCTGAATCCATTTTACAATGAGTTTTAGGATATCCTTTATTCTCTCCCTACATACAGATGTCATGCATAAACATCTCGCAAACGGATTCAGGTGCGATCAAAATGGATATTTTATTTGAAATATGATACCCGAAATGATTCGCGTTTTCAACACTTCTTTTACTTCGTAAAAGGAAGTAAAAAGTGGTTGAAAAATCATGTAGCTCCCTTTAATCCCTCCTTTTAGAAAGTGTAGAAAGAGAGATAGAAGAATCGTTTTCATAACATATTCAATAAAATATTAAAAGTTGTTTTTCCTACATTGAAACTTGCATAATTTATAATGATCAAAAAAGGAAGATATTGGTTTCAGAAAATTCACCATACTAAACTTGTTTTAAGAGAATGAAAGCCATTGACAACTTTTCAAAACATCTTAGTAGACACAGAGATAATACTGGCTAAGTGTTTAAAACGTTACTAAAAAAATATTTGTACTCGCGTTTGTAAAGAGACCACCAGCTGCCAAGCGGTAATACTGCTGAACGTTGGTAGTTTCGCTCAGGTTCAATTCAAGGCAAACAAGAGTTGGGTGAATGGGAGTTTTAGTGACTTTCCTCACGTTTAATGTGAAAAAAAAGCTAGTTTTCCTTAAAACGATCTCTACGAAAGTATCCCTTCCTTCAGGTAAGTAGCCCTCGCGTACTTTGACATAATTTAAATAATCCAATAAAATGTAATTATTTTGTATTAAAAATATTTGTTTCACGTTTGCTTCGCATGTTCTATATTTTTAATTTATTCGAATTCCTTTTTATACATTTATACAGCTTAATTATTGCAATATTTCTTAACCGCTTGAAATATTTCATACGAAAATGTAGTCTCTTTTCGTTGATAAAACAACCGTTCTGCGCAAGCGTACGAAATAAAATATCGCGGACCTTAGTGTATTGATTTGCTGACTCAAGACCTTTATAAATATGATAGCAGATTCTCCTTTTGAACGGAAAATTCCAGTTCCAATGGTCCTTTCTCAGCATTTTTTCATTTCCATGAACATTATGTTAAAATGACTGAATCAGAATTTATATTCTTATTAAAAGCTTAAAATTCCGATATTCTGTAAAGTATCAAAATAAATATGAATTTTCTAAAAAATTTCTATTGCATTAAAATTGCTGAGAGACTTGCCGATAAACTAAACGCAATATATGAGTTCTTTATTGACGTCATCAACTATTTAAAATATTTTTAAGTACGAAATCAATTGATGCAATTTTCGAAATGTTTCTGAAACATTCTACTCTGTCTGTACATCTTTTCAGAAAGTTAATGGAAATATTCTGCTTATCTTACTAAAATAGGTAATAATTTGATAAGCAGAAAATTTTGCATTTTGGTAAATAGAACAATTTGATCTAAAAACAATTTAGTAAGTGTTTTATTCAAATGAGTAACAATATGATAAGTAGGAAATTTTACGATTTGGATAAATAGAAAACAATTCGATAAGTGTCTTACTCGAATAGGAAACAGTTTGGTGAGCAGAAAAATTTAGTTTGATAAGTATTTTACTCAAATAGGTAACAATTTGATAAATGTCTTACTCATATAGGCAACAGTTTGATAAACAGAAAAATTTACAGTTCGGTAAGTAGAAAACAATTTGATAAATTTGCTTGGCATTTGTTTTAAATGTATGATGAGATCATATGCATTCTTCAAGTTCAGCGAAAAGAGCTCCTTTCGTTCATTACCAGTGACAAGTATAAGTGATTTGCATGCATATATGTCGTGATGTGTGCTTTTATGTAAGTGCTGGTCTAGGGCAGCCTTTTGGACTGACATCTGTGAATGAGAAAATATATTAAAATTTAAAGCTAAAAGAAAATTTAACTGCTTAAACTTTTTATGGCTAGTAGTCTTTTTAATATAGTATCACCCATTCATAATTTTATATAAAGTTGTATTTTGAAAAATTTAAATTTAAAGACAAGTTATGTCAAACCTTTCAGATACTGCCATGGCAGCCTTGCAGTACTACACATGCTTGACGCTTTTTGGAATACTTCTGCTAGCCATGGTTGCCCGAGCACAAGATTATGGCCTTGAAGAGTAAGTATATAAATTAAATAACATTTTGAATGATCGTTTGATTTACTTCCACCATAAAATATTCAAGGAATACCTTGAGTAATTCAAGAGACTCGCAAACTTTTTGAGATTCGGATTCGAGAAAATTTAGGATTCGTTCTCCTTCTAACAATGTTCTCAGGATAGTTTAAAGCATTATTTGAATATATTTACTAGAAAAAGCGATGATAAAGGCATAATCTGCAAAAGGATAATTGGGAGTTAAGTTTATGAGATAGCTTCCCTTCGAAAACCCTCCATTGAAGGCTTCCCATTCTAACCATCCATGAAGGTTTCCCTTACTACCGTTCAAATGCTTTGTTAGTGAAATTGTACTATCGTAAGTTACTTCTTTCCGTCATAATTTTTTATATAATTGTCGTTAAAAAGAATTGGAATTATAAACATATTCTGTTGTCGTTATCAATTGTCTCACTTATCGACCTAATCAGACACGAAATTGATCATGGCAAGAATCGGAAGAATGCGTCTGTTGTTGGAATGCGCCTTCACCGCCATATAAGTGACAGTATATTTTTGCAAGTCCCAGTTTTGATGAAGAATACCCGGGGAACGGATTGTCACCCGATTACCAATCTATACGAGAAGGCTTTTAGTCATTATGCTGCACAGACACTATACGCTTACCAACATCCGTGCCTTCTTTGATATTCGGATTGAGCACACGATACAGCAACCAAGAGCACTAACCACAATGCCGATCAGGGCGGAATATCGTTTCAAGTGGCTTAATTTATATTAATGTGGGAAAGTTAATTACAGCAATTGATTAGAATGTATTTCTGATATAGATGTGCTTTTTCATTAAATAAACTTTGAAAAGAATTTCTTTGGAAAAACAAAACAAAAAAAAACTCTTTTTTTATTTAAAGACCTTATGTAGCGTTTTGTAATACTGCGTTTTTAATTCTAAAAAAAATTCGTTGTTTGTTTTATTTTATATCAATGTTTAAACTTCTAAGTAATTTGTATGTATTACTAAAAGTCTTTTCTTTTGGACACCAAAAATATCATTAGGAAAATCTTTAAAAAGTTTTTTAATCGCTACACTACAATACTGTTTATTTTTCACGCAACCTGGAAAATGTATTTAGGCTAGGTTATTTGAATATGGCAAAGGCACAGGGTCTTCATCTGCCTAAGAAGATGGTTGCCTCCGGAGGACTCCCTGAGGAAAACTTGCTCGTATTTCAAGTTACGCATGAGGAAAACTACGAAAACCAAGCAAGCAGTCACCGGATCAAACTCAAACCATGCAGCTGTTTTAACTATTTATGCACTGGATGGGGCAGAAAAGATGTTGATGCTATAGGAGACATAGCAACTTTATCTTCCATGCAGCCTTGGAAATAGTCGTTTTTCAAAACTCAGTAATTTAATGTGATATGCAATTTTAATTTAACCTTCAAATTTTAGTTGTATTAATCAATACATTTTGTTACAAGGCACATAACCCGTTTATTTAAAATTTAAAACTCTGTTTCGTTTTAAATAATATATTTAATTGATATAATTTAATACACATTAAATTTTGGCGTATCTAGCTGATAATTATGTTCATTAGCAGCAAACAATACTTGGACTAAAAGAAGAGATATTTCTAACCCGTAAATAAATATTCTCTTCTTAGGCATGGAATCTTTTCCTTTAAATTCGATTTAGATATAAATATTACATCTAGCAATTTTTGTTAGTTCATTACAAAAAGGATGCCGCTAATTGCATTAATGATTTGTATTTTAAGTGTTAAATAATTTTCATGAAAGAAAATCTAAAGTAATTATTTTTTTATTATTTTAGCTTTTGAAAAATAATTAAATTATATGCTATTCCAAATTTTGGAAATTTTAGCTACGGTTAATATTACAATGCAAAAATAATTTCTCATTTTTAAAATGACTTTTGGTTCAAAAAGAATACTTCTAAGAAACCTTTGTTACTATTTCTGCATTACTGTCTTCTTTAAAATTTTATTCATTTAATATTAAATTATAATTATCTCAGAAACATAACTTTTCTTCAGTCATTAAGTCATTAATATGCAGATTAGGAAACTCTAGTTAAATTAATTTAGATTAGAAAGACTGTAATGAAATTTTTCTACTTTTTGAGAACAAGGAAACGTTAAATGAACTTCAGCTTTTATTAAGAACAAATGAAATAATTAATTATATTTGAACATATTTTTTGAATTTAACCTTGATTCCTGACATGAAACATAATTATTTATTAAATATATGCATGTATGATTAAAAAAGAACTCCTTTTCTAGAGGCTTAAATACGTAGAAACGAACGCAAAAGTAAAAATTTGATTTTAAAAAAATGTACATCTTTTCGACCGCTCAGATCTAAGCTTTAACACTCCATTTACGTAAAGAGAAATCTAGTAGTACTCGCATTTTATTCTGGTAATGAATCGAGAAAATTTTAACTAGTTATAGGATATTATTAAGTTTATAGTTTCTGTTAGATTGTGCTATGGTATTAAGAAATGCATCAAAGATAACAATGATTTTTTAAACTAAATCTACTGATAATAAAAAAATGTAAAGACAACGGTAATGTTTCCCGTATATAGAATCTAAAAGTGGAATCTAAGAACGCAGCATAAAATCTTATCAAAATTCCGATAATAAATAAAAACCTGTCTCACGTCATTTAGAATTTTAAATTTCCTCTTCTAAGTCTTTAATGTTTATTTACAGAGAGCGTGACTTCTTTTTAATCTCGAATTTAAGGAAGTTATTATTCTTCAAACAAATGAAGTAACTTGTTTAGTAAATTGCCATTCAAAAAGCTGTTAATTTACGTCACGAATCGTTGATTCATTCATTGATTTTTAAGACTGAATTTGTTGGGTTTATAATTAACATTTTCTTTCTTGTAGAAATGTTAAAGAACTCGTAGCGAGAAGAAAGAGCTTGGAATTTATGAAACAGTTGGTTGAAGACATAGACGATCAGTTGAACAGGCTGCAGTACGTATTTTGGTTAACCAATACCAGTTCTATTTAAACTAATATTTTTATTTGGTTGCTGTATGCATTTTAAATGTTTTTATCAAATAAGTAGATTTTAATTTATATGTTATACTTTTATGCAAGTGTTTACTTTAAATGTGTTGCCTCACATTCCAATTTTGCATCAAAATTGGTAATTCAAATTATAGCATATTCACTTGCATAAAAGTACAAATGTACATAAGTATTTTTAAGTTCAAAAAGCATACATATAAAGAAGATATAAAACGAATCTCTCTCTGGAGGCAACTTTCTAACAGGATATATTGAAATCAAAATTAAAACAAATTCGATTGATTATTTCCTGTAAGAAAGTTACTCCCTTTCATGACCTAATTTTAATTTAATTATTTTCTCTTGATTACTTAATAAATTTAGTACCATACAAAGCGAATTTATTATCTTAATTTGAGGTTTGAAATTACCCAGCATTTGCTTATATATATGAATGAGTGTGTGTGTGTGTGGGTACGTGTAATTATATGTATTATTATATATATTAAAGCTTATATATATATATATATATATATATATATAGATGGGATGCCTCTGAGTAATAACTACTAATACTATATATATGTAATATTAAAGAAAATTTTGATATCATACTCAATTCGGCATTTAAATTTTTTAACTAGAAATAAGCTTCTATAAAAACTATACAAAATAAAATTAAAAGCGAATTGTTTCTACATCTCTTCATCTGGGAGCATCTTTTTCAGGAGGACAGTATCTCGAAAAATGCAAAGGAAAATTAGCTTGTTTTTGTGCCAACAAATACACAATCAGTATTCTAATAGCAAACACAGAAAAACCTCAAAAACATTGCTTATCAGTTGACCCAAACCCAGAAGGCCGAAAAAATAACATAAGTTTTAATCTTAACTATTAAAATATAATAATAAATTTACCTTAAAAGCTTCTTAAATTTGAATAATAACAATGATGTTATTATTCAAATGAAATCAGTTAGAAGGATGTGATAGTCGTAATTGAAATATTTAATATTGCGATAAAAGAAGTTGCATTACTTAAGCCGGAAGAATATCTATTATTAAATAATGAAATCGTATTTAGAAAAACGCGGTCACCTAGGGTCATCAAATATTGAACATACTCTCCACTCCAACATATGCACCTCGAAGCTCGAATTCTGATTTTCAAATTTGATATTTATTATTTCATACTCTGTACGAATTTAAAGAACTTTTCATTAAAAATAATCCGTAATTTAAAAAAAAAATCGTGTTGCTACTCAGCAAAGTTTAAGATACTTATGTTTCATATTCAATCAGAAAACTCAGCAATGTAAAAGAAGTGTGTTACCACTCGCTAAAACGCAGTATATTTGTCTTTCGAATATAATCAATATACGAGGATTGGTGATTACTCGTACTTGGTGATTTAAAGCAAAAGTGTTGCCAATGGCTGAAATTTATTGCTATCTTCCCGCGCCGGTATCTTGCCTTCGGCAAAGCGTAAAAATATATAATTTCCTTTCAAATTTAACCTGTTTGCTATTAAGTAAACTAAGTGATTTAAAACAACAAAGGCATTTCTTCATTATTATTAATTATTAGAACCCCTGAAATTAATCTAACTGGAACTCATTAAAATTATATCTGTTTTTCTTTTTTATAGTAACTGTTTTAGACGGCTGGCCGCGGAAACGGCTAGTAACAAATAAAATTTTAAAAATAATGAGTGTGTGATGTAGTGGTTGAGAGAAAATTTATTTTCTTAATAATTAAATAAATTAATAAATTAATTAAATTGCCACAGTAACCGAAAAAAGTGTGATTATATTCCCTGATTGTTATTTAAATTATTTAGTTTCCTGATTTTAAACTTCTCTCAGTTACTCTTTGTAATTATTTTAATTTCCTTAATTTTCTCTCAGTCACCCACTATTTTAATTTTATTTGTTATTATCGTTCCGTTTTAAATACTGTTACTCCTTTTATCATAATATGCTTTTTGTATCTAATTTCACTTGTCTGACTCAAGGAGGTTAGACTAAATGGTATAAGCCTTCCTCGTATGTCTCGTGCAATGGAAAAGAAGCCATGATACGTCACGGTATGACGTCACGACTTCTAATGGCCGCTTTAGTATTTTAGAAGAACTTCCGATTGGTTTCGTATAAATTCTAGATAGTGTTATCTATACGTTAGCAATGCATCATTGGGAGCTTATAAATCTCCCGTTCTAGTTTTAATACTTAGCATAATTGCTTTTCTACTTAGTACATAGAAAAATCGCAAGGATTGCAAATAACTTTTTCAGATTTAAAAGAATGTAGGTATATGAAAACGTATAAATGGTAACTAAAAGACTAAGTATACATGGTAAAACTTGGAAGACCAGTGGAAGTTTTAATGGTATTTTATGCAAATTATGCCTAAAGACGCATTTCTGAGCATGCAGATGTTGATATTTACTCTTAATATCAGTGTAATTTTATTTAGGATTATTTCTTTCGAAGTTTTATCCGTAAGCTGTATGGCGGCCATGATAAGTCGTGACATCACCACGTTGACATTTTCTTGGCTTTATTTTTGTGACATCATGCTTACTCCATCTATTATAACCTCCTTGGTCTGACCTCATAAAAAACAAGCCCATGAAATTTAGCATGGCAGTCGTTGGCATGAGCCTTGAATACTAGGTGGCAGTCTGTGTTTTCCTAGTTCTACCCCAATTGTTTAGAAAAACTCAATTGAGATTATTGCATTTCTTGTGTTAATGTTTGTTGTTAGAATACTGGTTGTGCATTTGTTAGCTCTGAAAGAGACTGATTTTCTTTTGCCTTTCTCGAGATATCAGTTTTCTGAAGAAGATGTACTGGGTAACGTAAAATCACTTCTTTTATTTTTATTTGAATTTAATTTTTATTATTCTTTATTTCTATTATGTTGATTTGAATACGAAATCTAAATTTGCTTTAATATTTGTTAATTTTATGTATACATATACTTCTGAATGCCCTTAAATTCAGATGTATTCATTTATCTTTAAATGCAATATTAGGAATATTAGGAATATCAGCAGTTTCGCAAGAATAAATCCCATCTTGGTATAGATTTAAAATTAAAAAATAAGCACACAAATGAATTCGTGTGCAGTAATCTGGCATATGAATTAATGTGCATCAGCCGAAGGAATCAACACACTACGCTTAACATACTTAATAAAACCTTGAGGAATGCTGCGCCAAATGAAAGTGTTGATCGCATACGCTAATAAAATAATGTAATTTATCAAACTGTTTTTTATCATTTCTTTTTAAATTTTTATACTTCTTTTAATTTCTTTTTTATATTTCCTTTAATTAAATTAAAAGGAAGTAAAATGAGTCACAGATAAATTGTAATTTTTTGTACAATTAAAATTCAAACTTTTTTTTCGTAAAAGAGAACCTAAAGTAGTTTTAATATTCTTTTTCTTTGATTTCTTCTTATGCTTTTCATTAAGCAACTAATCTTTTGGATAACTGTATGGTTAAGGATTCCAAGTACTATAATTTGCATTTCAGTGCTGCAGCAACGCGAACCTCCTGTGTTTCGTCTCTAGAATGGTTTTCTTCATCAGTAAACGCGTCATCGTCAAATTCATATGCTTGCTGTTGATTGATGTTAGTCAGATCAGCTTAAGCCTGTATTGAAAATTAATTTATGGCCTATGACTGGCTATGTTAAACATAATCCTTTAACCCAACATAATCATAAATACTTACCTGAGGAAGACAGACATTCGGATCCTTGTATTCTACAAATACTATGCTGACTTCTGCTGAAAAGAAGCTTCATGTTCCAGAAAAGGAATTTATGTATTAAGCAATTATCAAATACCCATAACTTATGCAAACTAAATCAATGATATATTTCATATGCTAATCCATTAGAAATATTATGTCTCCAGACTGATATATTCCGACATTTAACTCCAGAAATCATTCTGAAAGCATTTCCGCTTTAGATGGTTGTACAGAATTCTCTTAGCATCTGAAATGAATATCTAAAATGACTATCTCTATCACGCTTGTCAGATCCACGTTAATTGCGTCAATTATATCTCCTCTGAGAGCGCAATTATCCTCTTTATCATAAGGCACTATCTGAAGGGTAAATGCTATTTAAATGGTAACATTTTAAACCAATTTCAGTTATCTTAATTATTCCAACAACTAATTTAAATTTTCTGAAGAGTGCGTAGACCGTTCAATTTTAATACTGCGGAGTTTAATGTGTCTTTTATAAAGGTATAGGGATGTTGTGTCCTTTATAAAGATTTCTGTGGCAAAACAGTTACTGTATTCTTGTAGTTTTCAAATCCACGAACATCGTCAAGTAATTTTCAATATACTTTTATGTTATTACTATGAAAAAGTTAATTTCAAAATACAGAAATCGATAATCGTCATTTTGATTACTTTTTTATTAATTTACAGATAACACTTAAACACGCAGATTTGAACTACTTGGAGTTACTTAAACGTGGATTTTTAGTAAATGTGATAGCCAGTTAGTTTTAAATTTGATATAGTTTGAAAACCCGCTGATAAAAATATGTTATCTAGAAATGTGGGAAAAATTAAGAGAAAGAATTGTATTCTGAATGCTTAAAGAATGTATGGATATTAATTTACAGGGTGGCGTTTATTTCCATATTTTTCAAAAATCAGTAAGAATGAACAAACTGGTAAACTGAAGTAAAGTTTCACACAGAGTCCCCCTCCCTCCAATAACAATTTAATTTTTCTTCAAATTTTCACTGACAAATGCCCTTCTAGTATCAGACTATAATGACAGAATGTAAAAAATTACTACACTTAGGCTGTTAATCATTTACATTTGCGAGCATACATACTAATATTGTAGCATTCAATTATGAACACAGTTACAGTTATCAACATTAGTTACACTTATTAATACTGACTGTAGCATTCTCAATTGCAC